TTAACTTCATTGTACCATCCACATGCACTAAAAAAAAAAAGATTTTTTAAGCAATTAGAGATCAGAAAAACTCTTAACCGTAGTTGTCATAATGCAACTCGGCTGGTGAAGTCTGATACTGAGTGTAAGAACTTAACAGTGGCATGTGACGGTACAAAGAATACATTTGCAATGTTATTATATGCTTTTCTTATTGGAAACCTGTATAAGGCAAGTGACTCAAGTGATCAGTTTTATTGCAATGATCAACAGATCATGATTAGCCATTATACACACTATAACTTGTGTATTTTTACATAGTCCTATCAACGATATGATTATACTACCACATCCATAAGCAGATAAAACACCATTTTTGTTAGAAATGTATGAGACATCGTGACTAATGATATATACCGGCTGAAGTAAATGGTGTTTCTTAACCCAGCACGCCTCAAAAGCTCTGGTATTGAATGAAATGTCTCATCAGCAGAAGCTGTAATATGTAATACGTGCACTCTTCTCAGTGGTAAATGTGTAAGTAAAGAAAGGTGCAATTAATATTATTACCAGTCTCATTATGCAACATCACACAAGTTATTGATTATGAAATCCCTTCAAATATTTAAGATAATCCCTGATGACTATAAACAAAAGTTAATTCTATAACAACAGATATTTATAGCTTTGTAAGTGGTAAAGATTTATCTTCGGTTTAAGCATCAGTTATCCAATATAAAATATGTGAGAGAAAAATAAAAAACAGAGTTAAGGGGTAAAGTTTGACAATAACTAACCTAAACCCAAAAATTCACTACAAGTTTTAAATTGGGGCTCCTGGATTAAAAGACCCCGTAGCTTAATGTATTCCTATTAAAACATCTTTATTCATTAAAATGTAAGACTTAAGTACTTTAAGTAAATACCTGTTGCTCATACTCAAAATTCTTCCAGAACGAAACTGACCCCTTTCCTGCAATATATCGAGGAACTGGAACTTCGTTCCTGCTGAGTCTTGACACATTATTCCTCTGTCGCCGTAAGACTAAATCCTCCTCATCAGCTTGTTTTGAAGTGGAACTAAGTTCCTGAACTGGTTTATCTATAGCTTTACCAAGTGTTTCATCTACCTATAATTAATTTAAAATACTGTCAATTCACATTACTCTTAAAATGCAAAATTACAGCACCAAATTTTGAATGTCTCTCTAAAACCAATTAATACTAAGTTTTTACAACCTTGAAAATTATTTTTTTTATAAAGTAACATCAAAAATGTACTCTTCTTTCACATATAATCATTCAAAAGAAAACTAAAACAAATGACTTATTGGGAATCAATCTTACTAAACTGGCTTTTAAATATTAACAGCATGCAATGTTAAACAACTTTAAACAATTTTATTTCTACATGTTTATAAATTACATGCTATTTCAGGCCAATGCAAACAATTTCAATTTTAACTCTTTCTGCTTTGTTTCATCATTCATACTGAAGATTATATATAGGTTAGTCTGGAACTAGAATAAAGAATATATCCCTGATCTTTCAAAATCAAAATAACTAAACCTTAGAAAAATGCAATCTGAAGTGTAGATTTCTTTTAATTCTATAAATGAGAATTACAACATTAAGACAGTAACCAAGATGAGAATTCTAATGTGGATAATTGGCTGTATGAGATAATACAGTAGCTAATCACAAGTAAAATGTATCAGTAATGCACATGTAAGGCCACTTGAATATTTAAATACAAATGGAAATTAAATTTTCATAGGCATAACACATTAAATAACAGATTCTTAGTTGTTGTTTTTTTATCAGACTGAGAATGGACTATCAGTACCAAGAGTGATTGTACAACTTTTTATATCTAGATTGCATAAGGATACTTTCAAGTAATTCTACTTGATGTACTAACAGTATTAAGATAATATGAGTGGCTACTGCAATGTTATTGTTAACAGCTGTCAACAGAGTTTGATACTTATAAATTATAAGTGATATAGCAATGGGAAAGTGAAATTAAATAAAAATTAAAAAGATACTCATACAACTTGTTACATTAATGTAACATTATGTTTCTAGTTATAACTTCTATTCTTAGTTCTAGAATTTAATTTTTAGGACATAAACAACTATAGTACAATGACCTTCGGAAAAGAAACGTCTGCCATGAACTTGAAAGTTGGATAGACCTACACTATACAAAATTCACATATGTACAAATTACAATTATATTTGCAATGCTACCGGTTTGATAGTTATAGTATAGTACAATTTGTAGTTTAAGTTTCTACTTTCGAGAAGCCTGGTTTATTAAACTCCCCTTTTCATTACCTTAAAAAAAAAACAACTAAATACATATTAAAAGTTACAGCTGTTAACATTTTTTAAGAATTGTTTTTCATACAAATTTTGGTATAAGTATTCAAAAACACTTAAATCTGTCATAACTGTTGACAATTTTTAATAACACCCTCCAAAACATTTTTGTAAACCTAAAATATGAGTTTGTTCCTTCAACACCGGTTCATTTACCGTAATTTAAATACTGCTGTCAACTCGATCACATGATTTTGATCAACAAATTTGAAGAAACGCAAAAGTGACCTCTTGTGTAAGTAAACCTGTATAAAACTTTGCTCCGTTTTTAACATATATTTTCTCATCTGTTTTGGTGTTTGATCTATGTATAATATATATTTCACTATTGACGCTTCGATAAATATGAGATTTTCTAATTTCTACACAAAATGAACCTGAATTGCAAACTTTGTATTAGATACGTCGTAAAATCTTTTTCTTGCTATATGGATGCCTAAAAATGTTTTCTCATACCATGGCTAATGTTTAAAGTCTAGCAAACATTAAATTTGTCCTCCTGCGGCTTTATTCATAACTATAATTTCAGTTTACTGAGTTCAGAATAAAAAATATAACTCACAAAACTACTTAGACACAAACCTTCGAAAGCAGTATGTCAGTGGGAGGAAAGACCAATGCTGAATATGATTCAAGCTTATCAGAAATTCGTTTGCAAAAATCAGACGAAAACTAAGATGCTTTCTTTGAAAAGTTTTACAGTTAGTTATGATGCGAACTAAGCAGTTTAATGACAAACCAAAGATCCTCAGCTCGAAAAGTATAATCAGGCTGATCGAGCGCTCCAAGAGGAAGGTTTGATGGAAAGTTTGTTTGTTTTTGAATTTCGCGCAAAGCTACACGAGGGCTATCTGCGCTA